GTCTTTTTCCCTCCATGCCGGGGGGAGGTTGGAAATGGTGTAAAGGGAGGTGGCCCCAGGCAGCAGCCGCTGCACCAGCCCCATCTCTGTGGCTGGCACCGTTTGGTGATGGGACGATGCTGTGCTGGGACCACGCTCACGTCCCGCTCTGCTCCCTGCCAGGCATCACCTACTCGGACACGGTGAGTGCCACGGAGCCGTGCAAGCCCTGCACGCAGTGCGTGGGGCTGCAGAGCATGTCTGCCCCCTGCGTGGAGTCGGACGACGCCGTGTGCCGCTGCGCCTACGGCTACTACCAGGACGAGGCGAGCGGGAGCTGCAGGGAATGCCGGGTGTGCGAGGTGGGCTTCGGCCTCATGTTCCCCTGCAAGGACTCGCAGGACACAGTCTGTGAGGAATGTCCTGAGGGCACTTTCTCCAGCGAAGCCAACTTCGTGGACCCCTGCCTGCCCTGCACGACCTGCGAGGAGAATGAGGTGCTGGTGAAGGAGTGCACGGCCGTCTCGGACGCTGAGTGCAGAGGTAATGCTGCCTTTCGCCATGGAGAGCCATGGCAGAGGGAAAAGCAGGGTTCACTGGAGCTTCTGCCTCAGTTTCCCTCTGCGTCAGAGCGGTGGGGATTGGAAGGGAGGACCCCAGTGTCTAGCTGAGACCCCCGGTCCTCCGGCATTGCAGCATGGAGGCAGCACTTACCAAAGCCATCATCTCCCTTGCAAATGCCCATCCCCAGGGTATGCCCAGCCCTTTCCAGGGAATTCCTTGGCTGAGCTCCCAGCAGGATGCTGCTGCAGGTGCAGGCTCTCTGCCGGGTGCCTTTTGGCATCCAGGAGCAGTGAACAGAGCCGAGAAGTTCACCAAGCCCAGAGCCTGTGCTCAGCGCTCCTTGAGCCTTCACGGGAGGGAACGTGGGGAACTGGTGGGAATGAACCGCCCTGAAGAGCTGGGGAACGTCTGGAGCAGCCCAGGAGGGGTTTGGTGGCCAGGGGAGGACATCACAGCCGCCCGCAGTGTGGAACACCCCCAGAACAGCCCAGGCTGCTCCTTGGCAG